GGACTCTCATTCTCCTCTTCATCTTCATCTGAACCCTTCAAACTAGAAAAATCATTATCACTACTATCTTCAGACACAGGCATACTACTGTCAGTGGACAAGTCAAACTCTGCCCCTTTAACATGTTTCTCCACAAGATCCTGCTCATCCACATACTCATCAATAACTCTTTCCAGCACAGCATCATCATAACCACTATCTAACCCTTCTCTATTTACCCCTTCTTTTCTGCCTTCAACATTTTCATCCACATCCAAATCAAGATGTTCTTCAAACAGAACATCATCATCAGAGCCACTACCGACATCCATTGTGGAAAAATCATCATCCTCAGATGAGGCTTCATAACCCTCACCTGCCATTAACACCCTCACCTGCCTCATGATCTTTTGAACTCTTATCAAACTCATTCATAATCACACCAACATCCCCATTGCCATCCTTCCCCAATTCCCTTTCTTCCTTTTCAGCCACTAGATATAATTTCACTTCTCTGTTATGATGCTTATCAACAGCCAACAGAAGATCAGTCTTCATAATCATCTCTCTATATTGATAGTCCAAGTCAAGTCTATAATTTTTTTTCAACCCACAGTAGCCTAACTCTTCACAGAACCTATAGACATCCTCATGTTTACTTTGTACTTATCCACATAGTCAACTGCACTAATCTCACCCCCAACATACCTCTGCTGCCCTTCAAATATATCATCAGCCAAAATCCCATCATGATGTATTTTGAAAGTAAGGTAAAATGGCTTAGTGCCACCTGCATTTGCATAAAATGGAACATTTGGTCACATATATCGAAAAATAACGGGCAAAAAAACAATTAGTATACAATGAGAATTAATTTTAAAAAATTCAGAAAAAGCCCTAATTACCGAGCATGGAGGACCACATACCTGACAAAATCCCTAATTTAAAAAAACTTAGAAAAACCCTAATTACCCGACAAAACCCAAATTTTTATCACAAAATTTAGAAAAAAAAACCCTAATTACCCAGCTTCTAATCGAATACCCGACAAATTCCTATTTTGTATCACAAGATTTAGAAAAACCCCAATTACCACATACCCGACAGAAGCCCTAATATTTCGAACAAATTCTTAATTACCGTAAAAAATTCAAAAAAAAATGAACGCATCACACAAAGGTACAATACAAACGAAATTCGAACAAATAACACATTACAAAACAACATACAATCAGAAAAATTAAAAATAAAGTGCTAGGGTTTAGGGATAAATATCGTATGTCGGATTTGAATTTTCGACAGCATCAGTTGAGCGGAGCATCGGATTTTCAACTCAATACCGTCGGGTATTCAAACCAAATTTGAATTTGTAGTAGATTATAGATGTTAATTTTGATTTGTGGATTGAATATTGAACCAAATTTTTGAGAATTAGGTTTGAGATAAATGAATTGGGTTTAACTCTCTCTCTCTCTCTCTCTCTCTCTCTCTCTCTCTGAATACATATCGACAGATTTAAATCTGGAAAAATAACGACCAAATGCCCACGTGCCCCCCGCGTGACATTTTCGTCCACTCTGTTAGATTTGGGACCAAATTGCAACGAAAAATAATTAAGGACCAAATATACGCCTGGTGGGACTAAAATTGCGATCACTTAAATCTAACGGGACCAAATTTGTAATTTTCTCGTTATTGTGATGTACAAACTTTGTTATTTGTGGAATGAAATATATCTAACGTTTGGAAAAAAATAAAAATAAAAATAAAATTTAAATTTTTTCAAGACTTTTAAAAGTGGACATGACCAGTCAACGGGCTGGACCGACCCGCCAAATAAAAAGCCCGGTCCATAGAATAGGCCCTCCTGCCCCAGTCCCGTCTCGGTCCTGGACAGCCGGGACAAAAAAAAAGGACTCGAGTACGACCTGCAAAGCCACGGTTCCGGTTCTATGAACTGGCAACCTACGGGCCAGTTGCAGGACAGGCCCGGACTAGGAAGACGGGCCGGTCCGGCCTGTGCCCATGTTTATTTAAAAGCCCTAATTTATTAATTTGATATTTTAAAAAATCTTATAAAATCTTGAGTTATTTAATTTATTTGATACTATGATTTGTTATGAATTTTTACAATTTGTTATAATTTCAAAATAAAAAATTATATATGAATTTACTCTAAATTTCACCTCTAAAATTTAAGAGATATGTATTAGTTTGGCATTTCAAGTGACATTTTGAGACTTTTTGAGAACTGGGGCTTTTTAAGAGTTTTAGATTTTAGAGAAATCCTATAAAATCTTAAGTCTTGAGGTAGATTTGGAATGAAATTTCATATATGTTTTTTTCTATTTAAATTCTTGTAAATCTTAAGAATCCTTAACAAATTCTAGTCTCAAATAAGTTAAATAACTCGAGATTTTATAAAAATTCTTAAAAATCTCAATATAAATACCTCCAGATTTTTAAAAGTCATAAGAAACTTAAATTAAATACGTCAAGATATCTACAGTATTAAAGTTTTTAGAAATCCCTAACGAGTATACTCCATAAGATTTCACAGGATTTCTCTCAAATCAAAACTTTTAAAATAGTCTTAAACCACAAAAACTCTCAAATGTCGTTCAAAATCTCAAATGAATATACCCAAAAGAAATAATATCAGGTTATCAGAGCTGAGATACTCTAAAATCTTGAAGCATGGTCATTTCTTACAAGATTGACAAATTTACCCTTGCATAAAAGGGGTTATACGCAAAGTGAAAAACGCCCCCTCCTTTCCTCTCAATTATCTTAGGTCCCTTTTCTCGCATAAAAAA